TTTCTATAATATCTCTTTCCTGATAAAATTGTTGTGTCTCTAAAGAAGTGTTCGAGTGATTTGTTTGAGTTGATGCGTGGGATTGTGTGTTTAAAGAATATGAGGCAATGGAGTGGGTGTGTAAAGAATGTGAGGTGATGGGCGAATGAGGGTCCGATGATGTATGTAATGAAGTTGTTGAAGTTTGGGTGCGTTCTTGATGATCATCATCACGAGACTGAAGTGTTGAATTTAATGCCAATATATTAAGATTGTTGCTATTTGCTTCTTCAGCAAGCTGGGTGGATATTTCAGTTTTAATTTTTTGTATTGTTTCGTCAGATAAAAGTTTATTTCTTAGTATTACTCTTCGTTGGTCGGCAATTCTTTGTGCAGAAACATTTAATTCTGGGTATTTCGAGGAAAAACGGTCATGAAGTTTTTTGCAATACATAGTTCTATCTGTTTCAAGTCTGGTAACATAATAATATGTGCGCATGATAAATAGGTTTATTTCTTCGCTCCATTTCATGCGCACTCTGGGTTTACCAGCTTTGGTGGTCGCAGGTTGAGTGGCAAGTGCCTCCTGCGAAACATCCTCAGCTGGAGTGGTTGCTCTACTACTATTGCTATCTGAAAACTCGGCTGTAGTCCTTGAGGACATTCCCCTACCCCCCGCGTCCCCGACTCCCGCCCAGCCGTCCAGCCGGGAGTCACTGGCTAGCATGCTGTCACGCCTGACACCAGCTACAGACGTGCCCCGACGATCCTCGGGCAGCGGCCCTAAACGTAATCTTCTATTTCTTGTCTCCATATTGATGGGTTACCTTTACCTTGTTAGCCGTATAAGTTTCAATTGTATACGTGTCCGCCCCCCACGTGGTTAGATGTTCAACCAGGACGTAAGGTAGGATTTTAGGGGGCATTATTATTATTATTGATGATGTAATGATATGACAAATAATTTACGCTATGAGACTGCTATACGTGTTCTGTATCTGATCTGTTGAAGAATAACCCCAAAATTTAGATCGGTTTGTGACATCGGATGTGTGGAGTTTCTGTCAAAAATCGAATTCGGTCCAGAGATTTTGGTTTATCGTCGGTTAGTAATCCGGCCATACCACAGCCAGTTAGATCCACTACAGGGTCCACATAGACGTACGTAGATACAGTGTAACTGTGGACAATAGCGGGTACTGTAGTATTGAGTGGGTTCTGGTTAATCTGTTGATCCGTTTGCGTGGAGTTAGTGACCTGTACTGTACACCGGCGCGGGCCATGGCTGCCATCTGCTGGAGCTGCTCCATTTGCGGCCTCTCTGCTGATTGGTTGTAGACATGTTGTAGGCATCTTTTACGAATCATGTAATTGTAAAGTATTCAGTTGTGCTTTCTGTAACAATACAGGACAAAATAACTATTCCTTTCCCTGTACTGGGATTACTCCTAAAGCAACAACCAATGTTTGAGCTTCGAATTACGGCCACTTGAAACGTATAAATATTTCACCGTCCGCATTGTAAAGTATCGCATCGTCTCACAAGGAGTCGCCCTCGCAGTAGTTACAGGTTACACCACAGAAGGGCGAGCTCCCTCTGTCGACTCTCTCCGAGGGGCGCGGGTGTGAGAGTAACAAGATTGTATTGTCCAATTTATACTGTACCTTGTATTGTGTGTCTTAATGTCCTCAATGTTCCCCAGCTTATCAATACTTTGTGTTCCGCGGACAATACAGATATTATGTAACCTATTGTTAACTGTACATAAGTGATCAAACGCCGCCTCCATCAAAACATACCGTCTGGTTATTAAACAAGTTATCAAAGATATCGAAGCCAACAATGTGGCAACTTGCAAATCTCATTAAAGTCCAATCAATTCAAAGTTTTACGTACACAGTTTAAAGACGTGAACTTTATACGCGCACATTGCGCGTTAAGACAGAAGTACCATGCTTACTTAATATTTTTTATAGTTTATTCGATTTGCATAAGTAGACACTTATTCATTGAGTTATCTAGAACGATAGTTCCACCCGATGTTAGTCTACTTGTTGATTTTTACTCACGTTAGGTCGTTGTACCTATACATATAAAGTTGTATTTCTGCGCTTGTGTTATTGTTGTACTATTCAAGTTGAGTTGATGTGTTTTCAAACGCGGCTGGGAGGCGGGCGGCCTGTGACGAGGCCGAGCCTCCGACAAATAAAACGTCTCGACGCGACTTCTGACGACTTTCAGCGAACTTTTACAAAATATCTCTAAAGGGACTGTGTTGTCGGGACACTGCGAACTTCACTTAATTAATATTAATTCTGTGACTACCTGTTAGATATTTAATGTTTAGACCGGAGTTTAGAAAAAGTTTTAAAGGAAGGAACGCTTCTAAGTATATTAGGATAATAGAAATGTTTTGTTTGTCGGGATGAGATGGAACACAAACGTTTTGATTCCGTGGAGTACGGCCGCGAGACATGAATTATAAAATAATATGTCTTCTCTCTTGTATCCATTTATTTGATTAAACATTAGACCGCGTAACATGTGAGACCTGTAGGAATGGCCGTGGGCCTTGTGTTCCCCCCCCCACTCAGCCGTAATTCACAAACTGCGGCTGTAAAATGTTTGCCCCCCCCCGTTTTTTTTTTTTTAAGGGGGGAAAATCATCGAATGACTGCCCCCCCCCGGGTGAGGCGGGAGGGAGTGTCAGACTCTTACTGACTAAAAACCACCCCGTTCCTTCTCCTGCACGTCGAGCCGGAGCCCCGGTTACCCGTTAGGTTCTCCGCGACTGCAGTAATTAGTTTACAAATAAAGCGCGAGCTGCAGCGCGTCGCTGGCATCGCTCGCGTCGGCCGCGTCGGTCGTGTTGTACAAAAAGTCAGCGACAACAGCGGTGAATTATTGCCGCTACACCGAGTGCTACAAAAAGTAGCGCCGCGCTGTTTGCTTATAGTTACAGTAATTGGAACAACCCTACGTAATGTTAATTGGTTAAAAATTTGGAAACTGAGCATTGTTGTAGGTACTACTTGTTTCAATAATATTATCATCTTATAGCATCTTGTTGGATGTTATTTCGTAATAGTGCTTGGCTATTGTACAATATTGTTTGAACCATTTCGTCATTTACGTTTGACTTTATAGCAACGTTGCGCTCCTCTATCAATTGAGACATCACAAAAGACACATTTTAAAATATCCGATACTGCAAACACTACCGTATTCGGTGTTCGATGTCCAGACGTGACACAATCTAAACATACATATGAATACTGTGAGCTTCATACGACAGAGTGTATACTGTATAGCTCAGTCGCCGGGGCGTGTGTGTTCGATCGCGGGTTCGTTTCCTGTCGCCGGCACGGTCGCATGGCCCGGGGCACCGGAAGCGTCTGTTTATTTGTTCATTTTCTGCTGCGAAACCGTTCCGAGTTTTTAAATGTTGACCTGCAGGCTGTGTACTGTGCCGGACCACGGACCGTCTAAACTGAGTACGGCTGCACCGCGGCTCGTGTTGTTGTGACTATATTAACGTATGTACATGATCGTGGCGGTGGCCTGGGTCCTCTCATACTCTAGTGGGTACTGCTGTAGTCGTGTCTAGTTGTAAGTGCAGTGTGTGACTGTATGTTGGTTGTTCCAGATTGGAGCGGCCGGCTGTCGGGGCGGCGGCGCTCGTCGCAGCAGTCGCCCGCCGCGCTGCTCGCTAACTTCGACACCACCGTGCAGCAGGTCTGTATCCACATCCACTCGTCACTCGAGACCAGCACGTAAACTGATCTTTAATCTCAAAGTGCGGCGGCTTGATGTGCTAGTGTTTACATAAATCTATGTTGTGGTAGTTGTGAGGCTCGTCCTCGTGTCGTACATACAGGGGAGCGTCCGATATGACTGGCAACAATTTGCCCGTGTAACAACAGGCACGCCTCATCTATTGAGTTGACCGATGTTGGAAGCGTTACAACATTTTACTTGACACAGAAGTATCAAAAGGTTGTTTGAAAGTTTAAAAAGTATTTATAGGTATGTAGTTAGATACTATAGAAGTCATTTAGAACGATTCATTGCCCAGTGTAGTAGTCCGTCTACGTGAAGTGGTGCGGGTATCGTTGTGGACTGCTGACGAGGCGCCCCCCCCGGTGTGAATATAATCTGAAGCCGCCGACTATCCTCCGGGGTGAGCCGCCGCCATTGCATCGCGCGATACAGAAGGCCAACTTGTAGCAATCCCCATAATAGAAACTTTGGTGCTTCTTACTGTATATTTGTACAATGTAGTTGTGCATTGATACGAACAGAATCAACACACAAACAATGTTCTGTTTCACATAAGTGTTGGCCGGCTCAACCGGAATGATATCATGGTCTCACAGAAAGCCGAATTCCTTAATCCTCGAATCGCCAACAATCCTCAAATTCCTTATTCACAAAAGACCGGTAAAGCACTTGTGTTAATGCTTACCATCAGGTGATCCGTCTGCTCGTTTACCGGCTCATTCAATTCAAAGAAACATAATATATTAAAAAAGCTTATTGTAGTATTTTCATGTAATGTCCTTAAATATTAATGTGTAATATTAATATTTTATTTTTATTGCTTAAAATATTACTGTACCTTAACGATACAAAACTAAACGTGATGTATCTGGCGTCGTCGTACAGAGCGGTAGTTCTGTCCGTGTCGCCGCGTGTCTGTACCTAGTAACCACTCTAGTTTAGCGGACACGACGCGATTCAAGTGTCCCCCCTACATTGCTGTACTTATACTGAGCACTGAGCACTGAGCAGTCACTGGTAATGCTATCTATTGCACGACTAACTACATTCCATTTCAAATGATTTAGTAGAGTTAATTGAACGATGAGCCGAGCTATTCCTAGTCTATTCGACAAACACTTTTGTTCGACCTATCTACTGCTAACAGTATACAGTACGTCCTCAACCTACCTAACCAACCTAAGATTTCTCTAAATTGTCATTTAATATTTTGAGAACAAAGAACACTAAGCAATTTCTCAATTCCGTTCAAAATAACGAGCGTACGTCACAAAATAAAATACATTGCCTCTTTAACATCAATTTCTGATTCAATTTCGCAATAAAGTCGGCAATGTAATCGGTAACATTTTTCTTCAGTGGAGCGACGTGATTGCATTGAGTTCTTTGTTGTGGCTTGTATCAAGCGGCAGTGGTGTCACTTCACAGGACATTGGAAAAGGTTCGCAGCACGGAGCACGACAGCGTGACAGTCACACGACGTGAAGCTGACTGCGACACACGACACTCGACCCAATTGATCAAATTGCTTTTAGAGAATTAGTAAAAAGTCCCGTTCGGTTAGCTAGAGACATGAGACGAAATTGACCTCAATAAATACAAAATACTATGAAGTTATGCACTCTATGAGTATGCACAGAGTGAACCTACTGCGAGTTGTGCTTGCTAGTGATGTTAAGTTTATCTCTTCCGCACAATTTGCCAGGGGGTAGCACAGTGGCGGCGTGGCGGGGATTGAGGCATTCCTGCGAATACTCGCCGTTTTATTACCGGAGTGGCTCGTGCCGGCGCTCACTCCCGGACTGGGCAAAAAATTATATTTCCAGTTGTAACATTTTATGTCTACGATCACGGTTCGGCGAAGGGAGTCAATAAACACGCGGAGGGCACGCGATGCACTCTCAAGAGGGCCTGTGTGGAACTGTTCGTTTGGTTTTGTACACAGAGTGCCTCCAGCCCGTACTGCCGCCGCCGGTTTGTTTCAACAAACATGAGCTTCGTTTGATGGAAAGCAAAAATGATTGGCTCTCATGGTTTTGTGTTTTGTTCGGAATATTCCCCTTGAATTATTGTTATATTTGCTGGGCTGACGTTTTGCCGCTATCTCGCCTTAATTTACACGTGTTACGTACAGGACACCAGTGACATGGGTTACATAAGGTAGTTAGATGTCGACTTCCAGTCGTTTACGCTGTATCAGTTCACACTGACATTTTATCCTTGGTATCTACCACACATCACCCATATGATGATCCAAATATCCCAAGTGGTGACTTGGACTCAATGCTGATGTTTGCGCCGGTAGTGGGTGGTGTTGTTTAGAGGCGACTAAAAGTGGTATTAGGTTCCATAATTTTGCACATCACCATTTTCCCAACGTAGAACATAAATAGCCCATTTCTTCCAAGCAAAGACGAATCTAGATTTCGGTTTTGATTGGATAGATAGAATAACCAACTGAGCAAATTTCATCAAAGATAGAATGCTTCACATTCCTAGTTCAGAATGGCGGCATTAGATCGCGCGGCGGCGGGGCGGCGGGGGCGGCGGGGGCTGCCCGCGGCTCGGCCGACTGTCGCTTGCCGTGTTATACTCCTGACAACTAATCGGAACATACGCACTCACGTCACGCACGTGCGCGCACTGACACACTACAGTCAAGAAGTTGCATATCCATATGGAATGAGAAAGAATAGTTTTGATCAAACCGAATAAGTTTACACGCATTTTATTATATCAAACATAAAATGATGTAGGGAGGTGCCGGTAGAGTGCAGCGGAGTGCATTTTATAGCTGTTGTATTGGCGGCGCACTCCAGCACGTGCACTATCAGCCGGCAGTCAGGTTTACGACGCCGCCGACATTACCAATATATTACACGGCGTACGAGTAGTGTCGTGTCGTCGCGGTGCCTCACGGCGCTGCCTCTTAATTCCATATATGCTTACGATAGGGATTTATACTTGCCCCTGTTATTCGTCCGTGTGTTTCCAAAAAGGTCGCAGAAGGCGTCAGTAAATCAGAATTGGGTGTTCGGCATTACGGCGGCGGCCGCAGATGACCTCGGCCCTTTCTATTCCAAAGAGAAATAGAAAAAAGTGCGTCGTCCCCGCTCTGATTCCTATAAAATTCCTCGGGCACCCATCCGAAGGCAATCTACTAAAAATATTTTTTCCTAGAAACCTTTCCTGCGTAGAGGACAGTATTGGAATAAAATCTTATTGTTATCGGGCAGGTCGAGAGGTTGGCTGCATTCTACTTTATTGGGAAATTATGCTAAGCCCGGACTCGACCCCGCACAATTCATTGTCTTCTCTCTGTTGCTCGTCCCCGCTCGGGTTGGGATCATTTGAGGCTCAGCTCGCATCTTCTGAATATCGAAATTTTACCTGGGAATTGAATCCAAAATGTTCTTGATGCTACGCAAATACAACCACAACGTTCATCAGATAATTAGTACAAATAAAACAATTGTTTTATTTTACAAAAGCGGATATAATACTGTGTGAGAGTGAGACCGTGGAGGCTGTCGATGTAACGGATGTGACGAGACAGGGGCTCGTGGTGTCCCGGTAATTGATGACTCATCGCTGTACTGTGTCACTGTAATAATTGTAATTGAAATGTCTTACATTTGCCATCACATTGTTCTCTGTAACTCCTTCGTATCGCCCCGTGCAGTCTTCGCTTGTGACTGGCAGAGCTCGTAACAAAACACAATCAGGCCTTATGTGCGGCAGTCAGCTCGACTCCTGCAACAAGGAGGTTTATGTATATGTTAGCACTACTAGAGTTGCGATGTAATGAGGTCGAGTGTAATGGTATCGTTGTCCTCAGATCCGCGACTGGGTGTCCGTGGAGGTGGACATGCTCCGCTCGCAGGCGGTCGCCGTCGGCGATGTGGACGAGATCCTGCAGCAGCTCGACAAGCAGAAGGTCAGTGCCGCGACTGTATGTAGCGTGAATACTTGCGTCGCGTCTCCGAGGAACAGATCGATATTCCGAATATTACGAGCAAATTGAAATTCTTCAACGTACCGACAGACGTCTGCTCGACGCACAAAGTATGCAATAAACATAACGAACGGTCTCCCACCGACACCGCCTCACACCGACACCGCCTACAGACTACATTCCACTAATTTAAAACATAACATAGATCATTCTACGAACATTAGACAAAAGATTAAATTTATTACTACCCTTGAATTGTAACCAAACTAAATTCAACTTTATTACTGGTTAGTGAGAGCTTATTTCCGGTCGCCAATGTGTTGGAGCCGCACGCGTAAGGATGGTTCCTTTATGGCACCTTCACACTACCCGATACGAAATGAGAGCGTTGTGTGTGTGTGTGTGTGTCGGGTATATTACATCGCTAACATATGGAAGTGAGGCGTGCGGGATATCTACACCACGTGCTAATAGTTAAGACAGTTCACACAATCGCACACGACGATACTCATTTGGGAATTAACTTCCACAAACTGTACGAACGGCGTCACAAGTGATGTTGCTGCGTTTGTAAAAATGCGCTACAAACGTGTTGGCAATGTGCACAGAACAGACATTCCTCCCTCGGTAGTGTGAGCTTGGTTTTGTCGAGTTTTTGTGAATTCCTCGACAATGTGCCGCGCCGTGCTCAGCGCTCGTGTAGGGCTCGAGCCAGACGCATCGATACCCGTGCGAGGGCTCCGCTGTACGATACTCACGGGGGCCGATACACACTAGTTTAGGGGGCTGCAGCGCGGAACATGTAAATCACTTGCACGAAGTTAATACCACTTCAATTGGTTTGCTTTGGAATCCTTCTGTTTGCTTTGCAAAATGCTTTACCGTAGCGTGCGTCGGTGTAGCGTCTAGTCGAGCTCTATTCGCGCGTATAGCACGTTATGTGTTCTATTCCAGTGATTCGGAAATACTTGGTACATGAACTGTTGGAAGGACTACTTGTATTGTAGTTCGATAACTTAACTATTTACTTACTGAACATGTCTGTCTACACAACACGACGAACTTGGACAAAACTTTTATTTATATTTCACATTTAGGATCATGAACCGCTAACGAACTTTCCTATTAACCTTAATTCTATGTAGCCATTGTAGGAAACCTTTTAAGTAAGTCAGGGGTCTGAAGGACCATTGATACACAAATGTGATTACAAAATGAAGTAGCGAGCGACGGGCAACGTCTGTTGAGGGTTTCTATTCCAACAAACACACAAAGGAGGTCCCGCTTCATGAGACTTAATTTTGGAATAACGGAACATTCTAAAAATATATTTTAGTCAAATATAAACGGCCAGGACATTGGTGACAGCCACGCCGCGCTCTCACGTCAGCACGTCACCGACAACTCGATACAATAAATTGTGGTAGAAGCAGAGTGGTAGTATAGGTGTCGCGACTCGAGAACGAATTCCGTGTTAATATTATACGTCTTATGTAACAATAGTTCATCGTACGTCAGCAGGTAACGACATCTTTAATAATTGCCTGTAAACTAATGAAAATATTACCATAATGCTTGAAATTTCCTAACAAACAAGGAAAGTATTTCTTTCAAGTAGTATTATAAGATGGAGGCTGTGCCCAGTACCCGGCTCCACGAGCCGTCCTGAGTAGGTCGGCACATAGCGCGGCGGAGGCAGGCGTGCGCGAACATCGCCGGTTGGTATGCGGCGCGCGACGCGACACTCTCCCGCGATTAATATCCAATGCGCGTCCAGTGGGGCGGCCGCCAGCCGCGCGCTACATTTTATGAGCATTATATTCAATGTATTTGTGCTTTTATATCTCTCGCCAATTACGGGCTTAAGGAATTGGATACGTGGGCCGCAGCTGGTTACCAGCTGATGTCGATATAAAAACCGCATTTTGTTGTAATCATATTTCAATGGAATTGATGAAATTGATGTTTCTACAATTATATTTATACAGCTATGTATATACTGCCTAGGTACTTGCTTCATGGTATAGTCTCCCTAGCTGCCTCAGATTTCAGTCAGCGATTTACCTAGCATTCGGCGAGCTTCGACGACAATTAAAAGATGTGTGTACAAATCGCTTGACAGACGACACATCCGATCCATTCGTATACTTCCTATGTAACACGTACGTACAGTAACAAACAGTAACACGAACAGTAATGTATCACGTTTACGTTCGGTTCTCTTGAATATGTTCCATTGACTATTTCTTTATCCAACAGTGTGTGTGTGTGTGCTTTATGCGGGTGGGAGATGAGTTAGTCACATGCGTGTGTGTGTGTGTGTGCAATGTGTGTGTGTGCGTGTGTGTGTGTGTGTGTGTGTGTGTGTGTGTGTGTGTGTGTGTGTGTGTGTGTGACGTCACGGCCGCGACCCTGACCCGCGCCACACGTTATTTATTTAAGATCACACAATATAATGATCGATGTTGTATGTAACAACACACACTTGATAACATTTGACGTGCAGAAACTAGCCCCAATTAAGTAATTATTAATTTGCGCTTTAGGATTTCAAAACGAGACTGAATTTACTATATTAAGTTATCATAGTGACACTCCTGTGCTGAACTTCCCAAATATACGCAAATATTTTCATGATTTATTGTTTTTAACAATGAACACAATAAAGCTGAAAGGTTTTATTTAATAATAAAATGTCCAGGCGTCCACGCCGCGTCACTCAATGAATGGAATGCATACAGTTCGCGCTATTACTTAAACTGCTGTAGTGAAGCTTTCAGCTGAACAATTAAATTCAAATTACAAGCTGTGCCGTTACCGCACAGCGTGCTAGTATTGTTTACATTCCATTGCTGGAGTTGATTCAATTAGTTCAACGAGGTTTCATATCATACATATGTAATTACGTACATTTGATTAGAATAATTTCAAATGCCGTGTACTATTAATACATAGTTCCTCTCTGTGCTGTTACCAGACGTGTGCTACGATCGCTTGCTGAAGCGCGACTGTCTCGTTCCCACATAGATCTCCGCTTTTAACTGAAGAAAATTTTGTAGTGCGCATGCGTGAGAAACAGTGATGGGAAGGTGTCGATAGATTTATTAATTTATATTCTTCTGGAGTTGCTTAAAATGTTGGCGAAAGTATGGATGTCAGATAAGTAAAAAATTAGTTAATTGTATCTCAAGTAATTAGTAACCTTCCGTTAGACTATTCAATATTGAAGAAGACTAATGCCAAATTCAGTTTCCAATTTGTTTCAGCCAACTATTGTTACAATCATCATCTTTCTGTCAGCATCCTAAGTTAATTAACGTCACCGCGAATATTCTTTCAATTCAAACAAATCAAACATTATTCTATCACAAATTCCTCATTTCTTTCGTATTCACTTACAATAATATGACAAAGTATATCCGTTATTGTCTCTCAATCATTATTATCAGTGGATGTTATATTGAAACTATTGATTGCATCAGTGATAATAATGAATAAATGACTTCCTTATTGGCCGAGTCGTCGCCAGTACGATTTTGGGCAAGGGGTCTCGGGTTCGATTCCCAGGTAGGGCAAATAATAGCTAGGTTTAAAAAAATCTCAGTAGTAGTACGGAGTCTGGAATTATGCAATTATGCTCGTAAAAGTATAGTGGCGTTAAGTGCCGTAATATGCATCTCTGCCTACTCGTTATGGGGATAGAAGGCGTGATGATGATGATGAAAATAACGTTAATGATGATTTCCTAAATACAGAAAAATACTCGTGTATCTTGAAACAAACTTTGACAAAGTGTTAAAACAAGTTGGAAATGTTTTATTTGATTATGGTATTCCAAGATTTATTTTATAATTGTGACTTAAACCCTAACATATATCATTCATTTTATTTTTGGTTTACATGAGTTGCACCCACAGCTGTGATATTTCTGAAAAATATCGCTGGAGTTTCATCGATAACAAAACTATCGACATCTTCTGTATCGATACTCTTCCATCACTGTAACTCACCCCACGGCTAGAGTAGGGCGGCGTTGCTAGGCAACGGGGTGGGTTGCCGGCAAGCCACACGTGGTGCGCACCGTACCGTAGCGCGTAGCTACACTAGTCGGTACTACCCTCAGTATGGCCGTGACCACGGACCGCGCTGGCCGTTGAACCCAACGTGAACTTGTATGACTATGATGTTTCTGAAACTCCTATCATAAACATTATTTCTTAAAAAATATGAATATAAGGTCATTATGTAAGCCAGTAAAGTTTACACCTCTTTGATAGATAATTTCTAGTTTATTACTTACTAGGTCATGTTATAGAATATCTATTGATGCCTTGATGAGGTGAAAATAAAAGGCTGACTACCTTTTACCCTGAATCACGATCACGTTGGCAGTAGGCCAGGTGGCTGAACTTACGGCACACTGGGTCGAGCCGGGTGATGGTATCTGACAGTCGAATCGTTTAATGTTAACCTTTGTAGTTTGTCATTATTTGGTCCATTACGTATGTAATTAAGAGAACAACTGTTTAACATGATTCATAGAAACTCTTATTGCAATATCTGATGAAAGACCTGTCAAGTAAACTTTAGCCTAAGTTAAAGCTGTCACTACTATTTATTATTATAAAACAGTGCTGTTAAGTCTTGATCCTTTGGGGACCGTGAAATTAATTTATAGTTCCCATAACTACAATATCTGTGAGTACAGTTTCACAGTGAGCCACGTAATGGTCCATTAGGATCACACTAGTAAATCTTGTGATGTATGAACTCATACAGACTGATAGATAGTATGGTATTAGTAAATTAAATCGAATCACTACTTTATTTTCCGAAAGGAAACATATCAGTACAATTCTCATAAATACAGAATTATATTATTATTCACAGAATCTCCCATTTTTTATATTTGATGGGCTTACATTTGATCACTATCTCGCCTGGTGGTTAAAATAGCGATGATGCGGTCTACGTTCCCATAAGCAACCTATTCCCTCGAGCCTTGAAGACACCCAGGTTATATACCTTTCAAGAAATACAGACCCTGGCAAAGAATTCCATTTTAGTATTGTAAGCATCATCAAGTGGCATCACGACCACAGTGTTATTCAAGGTATTCCTCATTACCGGTACCTGAGTGCCTGATATCCTCATTTCTTAGATATTGTTACCGAGCGCAGTGTAGGAGCACTGGCTACACAATAGATAGTAATAATAATATGTCTGTCGCTGGATGTCCCTCGTTGTCTCAGCCGAGCAGCGCGTTACTGTCTCTCGGCGGACACACGTCAGACGTGTCAATACGACTCGTAATCCCAGCTGTGACACGTGTCCAGTAATACAACGTGACACTTGTACACGACGTACATATCGTGGCAGGTTTTACATTGCTTGGAACTGGAAATTGTTTAGTTCTGTAGGTGCAGTGTCCAATCGACTACCGAACCATTTAGCTCAAAATATTGAGTTGCTATTTGTTGACTGGATGTGACCCCTAGCGAAGCAATTAACGAAACGAAATATTATTTAATGAACTGACAGTTTATTCAGTGCAAACTCTCGCCGTGTTATGCTTACGAATGAGAAACAACTTGGAGCGCAGTACATAGACCGCGCGCCGCCGCCGCCGCCGCCGCCGCCCGGACCGACCACACAAACAAACAAACAACCCAGTCGGCTGTTATTGTTACATTTCACTGTAACATCATCATTTACACCTCAACACGATCAAATGGCCAAGTTTTATTAATGTCAATATTATCACAAGTTATTAACATAGAATTCCAAGAGAGCGCCTCTGCTCTCAATATAAAAATGTTAATATTACCTGGCCAGCTGTATCAGCCAGCGTCATTGGAGCTCTTAACATCTAACACAATTATCCTAAATCGTCTTGTAGAGCACTCAAGCGGGGAAGCGAAGTAGTTCTTATTAAGTTGGTTGTTACTCACTGAGGCCGCGGGGAGGGGATCAATAAGGGTGTCGCGGGGTGGGGGGCGGCGGGCTACCAGCACCACTCGAGCCGGAGCGGCTGCCCGGCGTGGACGTCTCATATGCCAGCTTTCAGCTATAAATAAACTCGCAGACTGTTATAATGAAGTATTGCTTGATTGCTCATTAAAGTCGTTAAGCGTATTAATAAGAAAAAGAAAATCAAACAAAATCTTTACAGGAGGCGTAATTTACAAAAGTATACGTCAATAATTCCCCTATGATTAAATCGTTCTACCTAATTTTGGATTGTCATTTCTAAGCTGTTATCCACTTTGGGTAATGACGACGACACAACTGAATATCGAACATTTGACTAAACATGACCGCGCTCCTTCACAATTCAAGTGAACAGCAGCAACAGCAGTAACACGCTCCGCCCTCGTTCCAACTAGTCTCGTCCAACTATTGTGTCAACCTATTCGCATCATCCGAGCTCGCTCGCATCATTCCAACTTGTCTGATGTATGCTCGGGTTACATTACCAAACCCTGGCGTGTCTAACATCTCTAATCCTCCTTACTTGGGATCACTGGCTCGAAGTTTGAACCGTTGCAGATCGTTAGTGTCAACGTATCCGTCGTAAGTACAGACAAAGCGGCGAGTATCACAATAGTTTTGATCATAATGACTTCACACCACAGGCGTTTAATATAATACATACCATAACATCACGTGTTTTATCCCCGAAGGGGTAGGCAGAGGTGCACATTACGGCACTTTTCACTATTTTACGTTATGAGTCCCATGTAATAGGGGGTGAGCCTATGGCCCTATATTGGGCACGATTCTAAACTCCGTGTTACCACTGAGATTTTTTTAAAACCCAGTATTACTTTGCCCGACCCGGGAATCGAATCTGAGACCCTTTGCCCGCCAGTTGTTTAATATAATCTTTTTTGTAATTAGTAATCACTGGTTGTCGGTAGAGAAACATGAACGTTGGCCGCAGATATTGCTGATTGACAGTTCCATGAAATTTAAAGTTTATACGAGTTGATTTAGATCCACTCTAATTGTCTATTTTGATATTAAATTAATTGAAGTAATCTAGGATCTGGGCTACTACCTAATTTAAAAAAAGGGAACCTAAAAACTTTGATTGACTTAATAAATAAGAAAAACTGCATGCGTCCATGTGCATGGACGAAACTTTAGTCTCAATATTTTTCTTTTTATTGTTTGTAAGATACAATCACTAGAAGTTCTATTAGTGTTAAAACCACAACCAACAAAAACTACGGACAAACTATGCGATGCTACGTAAAGCACGGTGAGCAAGCTCGGCTGCTGAGCCAGTGTGCCTTGCTGCTACAACTCGTCCGAACTTAAACTAAACTAAGTCGCTGCTTAAATTGACTTCAGCAACTTGCACTTTGAAGAAACCTCTTTTTTCTTACTTTTGGAGAATGAAAGAAATAAATAAATCGGTTTAGGTTGGATTAGACCGGGCCGAGGGTACCGCGACCAGATCTGGGTAATTTAGGTTTAACGAAGGGTTGACATCAGAGGCCGGATCACTTCCCTGTAGAGGTACATTTGTACATATTGTAATAAGCCGGATAAATAAATACTGGATATTACCGGTAACCTGTACGGGATATTATTCAATTGATTCTGTCCTGTATCCTTTAAGTTAAGGATCTTGGTTTCCTCTCATTATTAAGATTAGAAGAAAGTAGCTGGTTTTTTAAGTCGATTTTAAATATGTTCCTTCGTATAATCGCGTAGTGTTTATTATTATTTTAACGTTATGTAACTTGTAATATGAGTGTTGCCTATGAAACCACTACTATGTAATACTATGTATGAGTGATGAGATGTATTCTCCCGGGAGCGTGTGCCCGGTGCCGTGCCGTGTGCTGCCCGTGCTACACTCAGCCGTGTGGTAACTTTTGTGGCTACAGTTGTAACATTGTTGCTGTGATTTCTCTGTCTCCTGTACTTCTGAACAGAACATTATATTTGATCATATCTCTTCCTAACACACAATTGATTTATAGAGAAATCTTTAACCATTGTTGTTCAATTTACATAAACTATAATGTAAATAAAACCACGCTAGTCCCATGTTTGTTGTCCTTCGATAGGAAGTAAATTTTCCGAAATATTTTCAAAGCCTATCTGCCGCCACCCGCCATGATGGATTTCCCCGGAAGCTGCTCAACGTGAACCATTGAACTAGGTGCTATGAATTTTTAAGGCTTCATGCATTTTTTACGGACATAGCTTCAAACTTGTGCATACGTGTAGCTATCGCATGTGATATTTTCATACATATTCAAAAAATAATATACGGCTTCCGTTCTTGTTAGAATTTCTTGCCTGTATATTATGTACAGTAAGTTAGTGCTGGCAGTGTAAGCAGTAACGCAAAGTCCGGTAATTTCCTTAGTTATGCATACTCGTATTGTTACAACGTTGCATAGTTCTATAACTAGCGGAGTGAGGAGTGAGGAGGAATGAGCGGAACGAGTCATACCCCACTGTTACACGTTGTAACTGTCTTCTATTGCTGTTATTGAATGTGAATTGCGGTGTTCGTTCGTTCAGCGGTTGGTAATGGGGTTGTTATTTTAATAGGGGTCTACTACATAACTCGGGACATTATCAAATAGTACAATTCAAATTCTTTTAAATTCTCAATATTTCGGGAATGGAATACGAGACATCATATTTGACATCAACATTAACGAGTATTCGATCACTGATAGAGATAAACATATATTTTTGATATAGGTACTTATTACTCATATAATATGTACTAACATGCAAAACATTCTATGATTAATTTATATAATATCCGTATTATGTACAGGGAGTACTCCGTGAGCTGGAGCAGAAGAAGCCGCAGCTGGACGAGCTGCTGCACACCGCCGAGAGCCTCAAGGGGACCGAGAACCGGCAGCAGCTGCACGGGAAAGGTAGGACTAGACGTACATCTTTTGAGAAAGATAACAGATTTCATCATATATTGTGTTCTACATGTGTTTAATAATAGGCTTAAGGAGCGAAACGTTACGTAACTTGGTGAACGAATTCCAAATCAATATTTCCCTATCTATTTATGAGTTTGTAAATGCCGACTGATTTAAAATATGTAATATTTAATCGGTTATCAGCACCACATTAAAACATCAATCGATTAATGCTTATAACAATTACAAAAACGATAAGTGTATCAATATCTCAAACCCAAGCATTACGAACACGTAAATGTCTCAAGTATTAAAAGAACTGAGTAGGTCGGGAGTGAAGGGAGGGCCGTCAGTCGTCGCACCTCGCCGGCCGCACCTCCTGATTGGAAAGCTTCGAGAACTAGCTCGCCATTACTTTATACGAGACCATACTAACACTATCTCTGTGTCTCTCTACTACTTTATACAATTGCACAAATTGCACGAGGAACTGTTATTGAAACTCACACGCTTTTATGAAGTTTATTACGGTTACAGTGAAAATTATTAAAAGTACACCTTGCGCCTCGTGAATACCCTTTTCGTCTTTATAAACGCGATCATCTACAGTAACTACCTGATAGATGAGCCAGTACCTCTAAACGAAATTGAAATGAAAATCAGTTTACATAAAACACGTAATCCTCTGGAACAAATGGTCGGTAGCTGCACGTCTGTCTGTTTGCTGAGACACTGCGACCGTGTGACGAGTACATACGATAGATGAGGCTAAACTTCGGTATGTATGGGGCGCAAACCCATCTATAATAGTTTATCAATTTTTTCATACAAAATTAATTATTTACATCATCATCATCATATCAATAATCATCTGGAAAAGGTTTGAATCATCACGCTTTCTCAATGCGGGTTGGCGATTTGCGTTGTCCAGATATCTTTACGATGTTTTCCTTCACCGTTTGTCAGTGATGTCTAAATAATCTTAAAAAGTACTTATAACTCTGAAAAAGTTGCATCAGTACTTGGTATTGGTAGGTTTTGAACTCATGAAGGTGCCTTCATGCATGAGAAGCGGTCGTCTTAGACCTCCAGCCCACCACGACATACGGCCACTACGAATATAAATTAGTCTTTAAACATTGGAAATAATAAAGGTGGGTGAGAGAGTATACCGGTGTCCTCTTAGCTTTAATTTGAATTAACGTTAACGTAATCGAATTCGTGAAAAATTTAAACTCTCACTAGATACTCAGTGTACTCAGTCACTACATATATATTTTTTAAATGCAACTCTAAATAACACTAAAAAAGAAACAGATTTGTTTGTGTCACAGTGAAGTCATTGAAACAAAGGCTCTAACACGACAACAGTCGAGTAACATCATTTCGAAACTTGCTCCAATCTTAGTGCGGAGTTAAACGCCGGACTCGGCTCGGTAATTACACGACACTGCAGCCCTTGCACTCGCAGAAGAACAACTTACACAGCGACTAGTTGTTGTGTAAAGTTACTGGAGCCTTCACTACCTTCTTTGTCACTAAGATCACAATAATTGACATCGTATTTTTCTTACTGACTCATAATAAATTATTTATTTTAGTCAACCAACTGAGCAAAAGCTTTGCAAAACCTTTATCTAAGTACATTAGCGGTTCAGTTTCTTATGTTATGTCATAAATATATCTTACGTATTGTTCTTATAGAGTGAACCTTCGTAGCCGCTTGCATGTATCGGACAGGGACTCCAGACATCCTCGTAGTGTTAACCTAAATATAAAGAGCTATGAAAACTGCCTGCGTTCCGACCTCCTCCTCTACTAGCGGCTCTTGTCACGTGCACAGCGGCTGAGTGGGGGGGGGGGGGCTCATTTACACCAAGTGAAGTCTTTAAATTAATTATACACGCTCATACGCTGTGACTTATGTAATTTCAACATCATTTAGCCGTGTGTTGCTATTTTGAGTGTTTGATAATTTTATTATGTTTGACTTTAAATTTATTAGTAGTGCGCGCTTCTGCTTGATTTTAAACCAAGACATAAGTCGTTTTTGTAATTTTATAAATAATAAAAGTTTTAATAAGAATTACTAAGACAACTAACTTTTTTTTTAACGTTGCGCCACATTGGGATTTTCTCCTGTGTCGTGGGTGCGTTTACAAACATACGAGTACACATACACATCACACTCAGACCCGGAACAACAATCTGTGGATCACACAAAGTGTTGTCCCGTGCGGGAATCGAACCCGCGACAATTTGCACGGCAGCCGGTTACTAAAGATAGATATTACTGAAGAAAAAATATAATTACGATCGTAAAATACTTGAATTTGAATTCATAAAAAATCGCCACGCAAAAAGTCGAATGCTCGCGTAAAGTAAACCTGACCCTTAATCTGGTTAGTGCGCCCTCCCGCGGCCCTCTCCAGCCGGAGGGACACGCTTTATGTGAGGAAGAGTGCCTGTTCAAGTATAATCAAGTTTGGGCGCCGAGCTTGGACCCGTGAGCAACTCAAAAGGGACCGTCGGCATAATTGAACCAATTAGCGACGATCTTTAAAGAATTCTTTCTTCAGCTGATGTCGGTATACAGGTTTGTTTTGTTGTAAACTCGATATAACAGCCTCGACAGCCTCGACAGCCTCGACAGCCGGTCCGTTTACGGATTATAAGTGCTTCGGGTTATGATTTGTGATTGCTTTGTCGAACTTCTTCACAAGTAGCGGGTCGGGGGACCGAGGATGGATTTGTGTCACAGTATAAAAATATAAAGCATGTTTGAAAATGTACATTTCTTAAGTTTATACACTGTCAGCGTTAAAATAGGCTTTTATGCATACTACATACATACATAGAAGAAAAGTTAATTCAAAATACTAATCTCGTATTTAAACAATAGAGCAAGCAGTACACGCTCAGTGGGGGTAAGTCCACGTAAGCGCATTAGTTACGTTCGCTGTGGCAATGTGAGGCAACGCTAACAAAATGAATCTTACTAACGAAATCCCCCAAGCATTCATAATTCCCTCTTCCCCGGATAAATTGATTCACTCCCTTCCTCTCAGCTGTTGATTATAACCATTCACTAGCACGCAATAATGGACTTTATATTAACATTATGGAGTTGGTTTTGCGATGATAGATTCTCAAGATAGCACCTTGAGGGAGGTGCGATAGAAATTGAATTTTAAATGTTAGACCTTAAGGTGAATAATGGATAGTGTTGCGGAAAGGCGTGCATTCTTGATAGCGCGAACCAGTGCGTCGTTTATAATGTTGGTAACGTTGAGGCACACGCGCACACGCGCACACGACTGCACAGTCACACAGTCACACAGACACACAGTCACACAGACACACAGTCACAGTACTCGCACACTGATACTACGCCGCTGCTGGTAATGTCCCCGCAGTTACAGTGGCTGCACAACTCACTGCCACTGATAAATATCATTAACTTCCAATAAATATAAAACACGCCGCCGCTGGACTCGTCTGTAATATATTTTAAAGCGCATAAACAGAGCGTTTTGTTAGGATGTAAAGCAGTTGATGAGCCCTTTATTTAACAGAATGATTTATTTAATAATGGAATACTTAGGGAGCCACAGTAAATTTATAATACGCACGCATATAATATCACTCAATAATTTCAGTATAGGAGAATAATATATTACCTGATACTGTACAGTATTTTTCAGCACGTAGTGTCGGTATATTCAGGGAGGCTCTCGTATTTCACGCGCTCCCTCGAGGGCCACTTCCTGCTCACCAAGTTACGCAGAATATCTTAATACTTTTTACAAGTTACACATTTCTTGTCTTACAACATTTCACAAACGTAATGTTACACTTTTGTTTCGAGTGTATATTTCAGATGTATTTTATTCACTAAAGTCAACGTATGTCCTTGATCGCTATTGCCATTGTAACCATGAAACGTAATTTTCCGCAAGTTTATCGCCTTTGCAATTTATACACTGCTACAAATTACGGTGTTGTACTACGCGTAGCGCTCGTAGCGTTGCGTAGAGGGTGGGGCTACGGCGAGGCTACGGCCAGGCTACGGGCTACGGGCAACGAGCTACGCGCTACGTAAGGTCGTAGACATGTGCAAGGTAGTCGCGAGTAGTGGTTTGCACAACTGCATGAGTCTGTATATCATTTTAAATGGAAATTGGTAAATCAATTCAAATGAAGTAAAGCTTTACTTAGGTAAAAAATTAAACTCAAAAGATTAGGATTTTTTTGTAGTATGTCATTGCAATAATCAATTTTGGCTATTATTTATATTTTTGACGGTATAAATGTAAGGCAAACATTAATAAAACATAGTAAGAGTATAGCGTGCTTACATAGTGGCTGTGGCAATAATAATACAGTACACGACACCCGACGGCAGGTATTCATACAGCTGCTTAGTATTCCGCGGAACTGTCTGTCTGCTGCCTCCATGCCTCCACTCACACACACGTCTCCTAGGAACTTAATAACTACACATATTATTGCTATTCATCACTCTACATATCACTATCGTAGACGTTTCATTTCTTAAATCATCATCATCATTTTCAATGTTTTTAATGTTTTCTCTATCTTAGTTTTTTTTTCTTTCATATGGATGTAGTCAAAGGAGTATTTTAAGAATGATTTTTTTTTAATAGACGTTGGCCCCACTCAGATTTTCTCCTGTGATGACTATCATCATGAAATGACGATCAGCCTTAATTAATGATACATAGTACCCACTACGATCATTTCATATTTCTATCAATATAACTTGCTAAACTAAACACTCACTTTCACATATTGTAAGTAAACATACAACTACAGTAAATATATCCGAACCTCTCCGGCTCCGTATTTAGCGTGTATCTCTGAAGACATTAAGGCTTCGAGGGAAAGTTCAGACGTATCGTGATTTATTTCAGTCGCCCGCGCCGTAACGACGTCTGCCAACTTTGCTGTAATACAATCGAACCGATATATAACATACCGCTATA